AATGAAGAAGTTGCAATAAGTACAAACTGCATATTTTTTGCATATTTTTTGTATATTATATCCAGTTTGGCAAGTAGTATTTGTAAATTACTGTTTTTGGTGCTCCAAAATTTCCACTTAATTCAGAGAACAGAACTGTAAGATAACGTTCCTCATAGAATATGTGAGGTACCAGAAATACATGTATACTGAATGTTCATTAACCTTTTATCTATTGTACCAGTAATTTTAAAAAGCTTTTTAAAAAAATTTTCTCGTGCTTTCCCCCAATATTTTGTGAACTATCTTGTGGAGAAACTGATGAGAAGTGTGGTCAATTTTCTATCCTGAAATATAAGTTTGTTTAATTAATTTCTCTTTTTGGAATATTACATGTACATACTGAGGGGAAGTAGAAGCTACTCATCAATTATTTCTGGGAGTTAAAGGATTAAAAAGGAAAACTTGACTGATTGGTTTTCCCTGTTCAACTGGAACCAAAATTATTCTTAGTTTGTTTCCTAAGTTACTACCCATTTTTTATGGAGTGTGACACACATGTACATGTTATATTTTTTTTTCCACTTTTTTACTTAGGATGCCCTGAGGTCCTAGTTTGTCCAATGTTTGCTGCTCTTCCTTCCCAGCATCAAATGAAAGTGTTTATTTCAGCTCCTATTGGCAAAAGGAAAGTTATTCTAGCAACAAATATTGCAGAAACATCAATTACCATTCCAGGGGTCAAATATGTGGTAGACACAGGCTTTGTTAAAGGAAAAGGTGGGTACAATTCATAATGAACATTTCTATGAAATTAACATTGAAATAATTTTGTCAGTTTTGGTTGTACTTCTTTGAGTGATAAGAGCGCCATTCAGAGAGAGTGATGGTAGTAATAAAATTATTTACAGTGACTTCCTGATTTATTGTTCCTTTTCCAGCTTTTCATCCCAAGACTGGCCTTGACATACTGCAGGTTCAACCGGTCTCAAAGGCACAGGCACGCCAACGGACTGGTCGGGCAGGACGAGAAACCAGTGGAGTCTGTTACAGACTTTATACAGAGGAACAGTTTGATGAGCTGAAGGAGATGACAATGCCAGAAATCCAACGGTGTAACTTGGCAAGTGTTGTCTTGCAGCTTATGGCCCTGGGTATATTGGATGTTCTCCATTTTGACTTTCTTGACTCTCCTTCACAAGATGCGATAGAAAATGCATTGGAACAGTTAGTGGTGTTAGGAGCAGTAAGGAAAGGGAACAGTGGCTTTGAGGTAAAATTACTCTAAGGCTGGTTTTCTTTTATTATTAAAAGTTCAAGTTATATTAATTGTTTTTTTCTGAATTTCATTGTATGCACTGGTGACTCCCAAAATCTAATTGTTAATTCTCAGCTCTGACTGCCACACATTTCCTTGTAAATTAATTACCAGTCAGAATTTAGTGTTAGATCAAGATAACAACATCTGCCTGATAAGTTTGAATATTCTCATTACCTTTTTGCTGGATATTGTATGGATCTGATAGGGAGAAATTACAAGTTAATCACTTTGAGGGAGTTGAAAGGGTTTTGTTGTTGTTGTTGATTGATGTGGACAGAGATAAGACAAAGAAGCCCTGAAGCATGGATGACAACCAACAGAAAATTAAACTTGCACATGAGTTGAAGTGCATGATTCAAACTGGGGCTACAGTAGCAGAGACAAGAGCTTTCAGAATTATACCATCCCTTCTCTTTGCTACTATATGCCATTTATAACAAATTCCTTTAATTTTGTTGCACCTTTAGCTAATGCCTCTTGGTCGTAAAATGGCTAATTTTCCATTGGAGCCCAGACTGGCCAAAGTGATTCTGTCATCACATGAATTAAATTGCAGTGAGGAGATAATCACCATTGTAGCTTTGCTGTCTGTGGACTCCCTTACTTACACCCCACAAAGCAAACGGGACCACGCCTTAGCAGTACGCAAGAAGTTCCTTTCATCAGAAGGTGACCAAATGACTCTTCTGAATATTTACAGAGCTTACAAAGCCGTCAGTGGCCACAAAGAGTGGTGTCATGAACACTTCATCAACTCCCAAACTGTTAAACGTGTCATGGACATAAGAAAACAACTGCGAGAGATTTGCATAAGACTGGACATTCCTTTGATATCTTGCGGCAAGGACACTGTGAACATTCGGCACTGTCTTGCCAAAGGACTCTTCATGAATGCTGCAGAGCTGCAGCTTGATGGGACATATCTGACTGTGACTCACAGGCAACCTGTTACCATTCATCCTACCTCATCACTGTTTGGTTCTAAGCCACAGTATGTTGTTTACAATGAACTTATACACACCACAAAGTGTTACATGCGTGATGTATGCGTGGTAGATCCGTCTTGGCTTCAAGAAGCTGCACCAAATTATTTTAAAGAGCACAGACTTCATTCACAGCCAACATCAGTTCGTTCATAATTGATTTTTCCTTGAAAGAACTATACATGCAGTCTGAAATTAGAATATTTTTCCCATCATGTGTAACTGAATAAGGGAGAGGATGGAATAAAACCCTAAGTGAATTAACTCTGTAACTCTTTCTCCCCACAATTTCTCTGCAGTGTCAAGCAAAAATGTGATCAGTGTAGAGAAAAATATTAATCAGGGGATCCAATACCAAATTCTCTGAACTAACATGAGAGGAACATTATAGCATAAAGTAAGGAGAATCACTTATGAGATCTTGGGAGTGAAAGGGTTAAGTTACAAACTTCTCCTGGTCATGTTCAAAGTAATGAAAGGCAATCTGAAAGGAGATTTCAGCAGTCTATCACCGAGATGTCACTGAAGGCTTTTTGCCATGCAACCTTTCAAAGTAAATAATACTGTCATGAGAGCACTACCTCCAGTCAAAAGAGTACAGAATTTATTGATGCCAGTAATATTAATAATATTTGGATTGACTGGAATGGTTGTAAATAATTACATTTAATGTATCTCTCAGTTAGTGTGTGTGCTATGAGTGGTCAATTTAGCAGGCTGTTTTTCGCCTTAAAGTTTGTTTGAATTGAAATCTTCTCCCAGAGATAAAATAAATATCTTGCTAACCTTGTTTCATTTTCGTGGTCAGTAATGAGTTGCTGAACCAAAGTTTTTTTTTCCTTTTTTTCTTGCTTGGGCAATAAATCCAAATGCAAAAAATTGGTCCATAACTTAAAATGTGTGAATTACACTTAACCAGCTCGAATGTTTGTAAAGTGCATGCAAAGGGTAACACATTACCCAGGTTTTTAGAGACATTTCCAGTGAGTGTCGCAAGTACTTCTAGATTTCTTTGGTTTTGCTTTTCTCTGCTTTTTCTCCTACCTCTTTTTCAACCAATCAGATTCAAAGCTGATTGGACACTGATTAATTTGGTTTGGTTTAATGACACTTGAGAGGAAAACAGTTGGTCTCTTGCCATCCCTAGTAGCCATAAATTTAAACAGTCTGCCTATCAGTGTAAAAGGGAGTATCATCAAGTATTTCAGGAATTTCACTTAGGAATGTTGTCAAAACCTCTGGTTGTGAGTCATTTCCTAGTTAGATATCTATTTCCATGTTGATCTGACTTGCATACAAATTATTTGGAAGCTTGTGGCTCGCAGAGTATTTGAAATCACAAAAGCAACGAATTTGATATATTTTCTGGCCAACACTATTTGAGGAAGGCTCATGGAAAGTGAAGCTCCTCATTATGAGACTATTCATTGAAAAAGAAAAACCACAATCAGATTTCTCTACAGATGCTGACAATGAGGTAGGACTTACATCACAATGTACAAAGGACCTCTCAGAGCACAAAGCCAGGTTCAAACTTAACCCTTTGCTCCCTCACATCAGTATGCATAATCTCCATACCATTTGATGCTAGGAACCCTTAGGAGTCAAAGGGCTAAGCTAACATTATTAGTAGTTTTTTTTCAGTTTTGGCTCAAGACCAAAAACAGACAAACAATGAATAGAATTAATCTTTGTAGAAAAGGTTGTGGTTATTCATCGTGGTGAATAACAATAAAAGTTCAGTTTTTCATTTGTCTCATGATACTGCTGCATACTGCTAGTCTTCTTTGGGTGATGAGGTCGACTGGTCATGCATGATCTTACACACCTCAACATTATTACACATATTTTCCACACCATTCTCTACACATTTCCATGGGTACTAACACAGAGAATTTGTTTAATGATCACAAGCCTCTAAAGATGGTGATCACTTCCCCTATTCTCATGTTTGATTCAGGAGTGATTCCATAAGATGAAATAGTTAGATGCTTGCCACTTGCAGAGATAAAAGGGTTAGGTAATTTCCATCCCAGGAGACCAATACAGTTGCTGAAGTTTCTAATGCAACAAATCCAGCTCTGTTCAGAATCTATTTCTTCCAATATTCCATAAGTGAGTTTCTTACAATTTGTTATTGACAAGGTTAATTGGGGATTGGACTATGTGTTGTACGATTCAGATTTATAAATCCTGGCTTTTTTATGGAAATCTTGAAGAGCAGTCAGTCAATTTCAAAGTCCTAGCCCAATTCCTAAATTCTACTCATTTAATTTTATTACCATTAATGGTAGACTTGTGCAGCAAATCTTAGGGATGTCATACAACAACTCTTTCTTCACCCAGTAGCACATTTTGTCCCTGGGCTAGTGTTTTGACTACAGCCAATGAACACATATCAGTTAAATTGCTTTTTAAAGGCAAAAAGCATACTTTGGGTGAATGTTGATGTAGCACAAAGACAACCACAGTACAATACAATCTCTATTTTTCCAGTCTATATTATTCTCACAGGAGCCTCAAGATTGTGTTCCAAAATTAATTACTGGTACCAAAGTTAAATCTGCAAGCTACAATAATTATAATAATAACAACAATAATAATAACAGTAATAATAATAAAAATAATAATAATGGTGATAATAATTATTGTTGCATCCTACATAGATAACCTATCATTCTTAATATTCCACTTTATCAGGCATTTAATCAAATCAAAAACCAACCAGAATGGAAATCCATGGATCTAAGGGATGGGTTTAAAAGTAGGTAGTCAAGCACTTGTTGTTTAGTTTACAGTGTACACTGTGGCATGAATAAAAATTTCAATCAAAAATAAAAAAAAATTCATGAATATTTTCAGTCATACTTTTAATTGTGAGTACAGTAATAAGATGCAGTTGGAAGAGGGTTTTCTACTTCATCTCCCAAATGAACTGTAGATTATCATGAGAAGTAGTGGTATAACGTATATGACCTTGCAGATAATTTTATAATCCAGATGCAAAAGTAGTTCTCATCCTGCAAGATGCTTGTCTTCTACTAGGTTGGAACATGACTGTTTTCCTGTTGTCTTGTGAATGATTTGCTCTGTTTATAGAAGGTTAATCTCTTTCTGATGTAATAGGAGTTGCACTTGTTACAGCAGTTACCATCTTAGCAAAATTCACTCAATAACAATTCCTCTCTGAATCCCAGCACTCAACATCTTTCCCGCGGTGATGATTCTTTAGAAGCTGACAGCCATACTAATCAATTTAGTATAATCCACATCCTTTGAGGTTATTTGCAATAATTGTATCAGTAACTGCATTAAATACAAAAGTGATATTGTCCGTGTCTGTTGCACATGTAAGATGAACATATATTTCTTTTTCATCGTTCAAGTTTTTGGCCTCAAATTGTTTCCTAATGTAAAGGCAGCCAGCTTCATATGTGTTTGGCCCTGCAAGCAAAGAACAAGCAAAGAGTAAGAATGTTAACATCTACAATGTAGCAAGTGTAGTTTGAATAAATCAGAAACTACATCCATGGTTTTCTGACCTTGGTGCAGTGGTGCATTGTGCTCTACTATTAACCTTTTAACTCCTGGAAGTGTTAGTCATGTAATTTCTTCCTATTCAATTCATACATTACTAAGCAAACAGGTAATAAGAATTCTTAAACTTATCAGGTACAGGTTGTTACTTTGATCTAACACCAAATTCTTCAAACCAAACCCCTTTTTATCACCTTTCCTTTCTCATCACAACATGGAACAATTGGAATTAGGCACAAATGGTGTATGTTGTGTCCAATGGAATGGACCACTTAAGACCCATAATGGAATATACACCAAAAGAGAGGCTATCATAGGTTTGCAGGGATATCAATTTTCTTTATGGGGATACTATGAAGAGATTGTGCACCAGGTGTAAACATTATTTCCTATTCCAGTCCTATATATAATATAATATAAATATATAAATTTGTAAACAAAAAAAGAAGAAACGTTCCACATTCTTGACAAGATAGAGTGTTGTACCAGGTTTGGTTCATTAACACTCTACACTGAAATCAAGGCCTTGGTAAGATTAAGCCCCCTTACACCCAATGTCATTATACATATTCCCCATTTTGTTCCTTTTACATTTCATCACACGCTGACATGGAGAATTTGTTCAACAGTCAAGACCTTCTCTAGTTGGTGATCATTTCCTTTATTCCTGTGACCTTAATGTTTGATTCAGGGGTAATAATGTATGGAGAAATTAGATGCTAGTCACTCTAAGGAGTTTAATGGTTAACTCATGGAACTACTTGATGATCACAACAGAAATCTGTGAAATTTTTCTTGTTTGTAAACATAAATCCTACCTGAATAATCTGGAAAACATATTGTGAGTGGAGAAGTAGTAATTTTTTCTTCAAATAAATCCTTTTTGTTAAGGAAGAGTATAACTGAAGTTTCAACAAACCATCTGTTGTTCACTATCGACTCAAACAATTTTAAACTCTCTTCCATTCGGTTCTGAGAGAAAGAAATTGATGATTAGTTGCTAGAACAACACAGTATTATTAGCAGTCCATCAATATTATGACAAGAAAAACTGTAGGGAAAGGGCTGGTGATAAATATTCCCTTAATACAAAAGACTGTTTCACATAAAACTTTTCAGTGTTCAATTTTGACCTGGCTAAAATGAGTTATTCAAATATGCCCTAGAATGATCAAAATCATGCCTCAAAGTTTTAAATTTCAAACTTTTCCAAGTATCATACTTTGTAACATGCTATGTTCGCGATGCAAGCATAATTCAGTTCAGCCACCCACTTAGTTTAGATCATACACTTACCAGTTGTACATTTTCTATTAACAATCCTACTATCGAAAACTATCACAGGTTGCCCAATTTCCCACACTCTTTATCACTTCAACACTGGCCAGACTTACTGTGGTTTCATCTTCCTGCAGTGTCAAGTCATATGCACTCAATGCAACACAGTATATTATAGCTGTGACATCTTCAAAGCAATGAATCCATTTTTTGCGCTCAGATCTCTGACCTCCTACATCAAACAATCTGTAAGCAAGAGCCAAGAAAATATGTTATACAAAATTGAGAAATATTGTTTGAAAAAATATGGAGCCTTTCTATGAGATATAAAGGTCTGTTACTTACTTAAAATGGAGTCTCTTGAAATCAAACTGGATTTCAACAATGCCGGTGGTTTTTACC